TCTTTTTTTTTTTTTTTTATTTCTTTATGTGTATTTTTTATTTGTTTGTATTCTGTTTTTATTATTTATTTAGTTTTATTATTTTCTCTTCTTGCTGCTAATATTAGTATTGTTTTTTTTTATTTATTTATTTTTTTTATTTGTTATGGCTATTTTCTTGTTAGTGTTAATCTTATCCTTATTAAGACAATATATAGTGATAATTTTTACTATTTATAAATATTATTATTTTTATTTTTATTTTTAGTTTTATTTATACTACTTATAATACACCCCACAATCAATTCCTCTGTCTATACAGCCCAGCAGAGTTTACTGCTCGGCGATTGCCCTTCTCTTTCTGCTTGTAAGAATATAAAACAGCATAATATTAAGATAAATGATGAAGAATAATAAATAAAAATAAAATAAAATAAAAATTAATTTTTATTTCCTACTTTCTTTAACAAAGAAGGTCCTACTGGGATTTGAACCCAGGTCGGCGGATTCAGAGTCCGCAGTGCTAACCACTACACCATAGAACCGATACTGCTGCTGCTGCACGTATAAAACTATCATCTATACTATAAAAAATAAATTAATTTTTGTTTTTAATTGCTTAAATAATTATGAAAATATATATATATTCTTTTATTGTGTTTATTTTATTTTATTTTTATAAGGAATGCGGTATATATAAACAAACAAAAAACAAAAGCACAAGAACACAGGCAGCAGGGGTCACCTGGCTGGAGCCGCTGCTGCTGCTGCTGCTGCTGCTGCTGCTGCTGCCTGCTCTGTCTATCACGCTCCGGTTCTCGGGGTGTCTAGACACCTCAGAAATATGATAATGCTGAGTTGTAAAATACAAATTCTAGATCTTTCACAATTCATTGACTTATACTTCAACGCCTTTGTCTTAACAGCAGCAGCAGCAGCAGCAGCAGCAGCAGCAGCAGCAGGAGCAGTAGCACCTGACCATTCTGACCGTTCTAGTCTCTTCTCCTGTGCAGCAGCAGCAGCAGCAGCAGCAGCAGCAGGAGCGACAGCAGCAGCAGGTACAGCAGCATTTGCTGCATACAACAAAACATCAACGAACATAAACAACAGCAGTCTGCTGCTGAGCTTATCTTCTCAAGCCGGAGGAGATAAACCACCAACGAAGCACTGAACCCTAAACCCTAAACCCTAAACCCTAAACCCTAAACCCTTGTAAATACTTATTATATAAGCAGTAACTGATGGTGTTCGGTCCTAGAGAGTCCCTCAGCCAGCGGTTGCTGCCGCCGGGGGGGGACCTGGCGAGTGCAAGGTATTCTATTTCTGCTGCTTCTGCTGCTGCTCTCTCTCTCTGCAGCAGCAGCTGCCTG